ATTAACTACACTTGTAGTTTTCTCTGGTGTCTCTTTTGAAAATTCTATTAAAATGGGCCTACAAAATCTTACTGATGATGGAACAGGGTTTTCCCACAAAGTTTCATTTGTATTAATATCAACAAGCTTCAGAGGTACTAATGAAGATATAAATAAATTTGTGTCAGAAATTAACTCATCCTCTTCAGTTAAGACTTGCTTGTATTCACTTTATCCGCTTGAGCCATCACAGCCCCATTTCGAATACAGCATTAAATGTTTTTTGCCAGCTTTGTATACCATTGATTTTCAAAATTCTTGCAATAGTGTGATCCAGCAGATCTTGCAGTTTTATTTTTGCTGTAATATTATTAATTTCTATGCTTGATCTTGGTGGGTAGCACATTCCTTTAGCTTCCTGAATTGATTTATATGACGGAAATAACACGCAGTTCTTCGCAATTAAGCAATTTCTCATGTTTTCATACTGTGCCATGTTAAGGTCCAACTCTATAAAAATACTGAGAGCTTCATCTTTAGAGTACGCTGTTAAATGTGCCGGTTCATTTAAAAGATTTTGACGTATTTCACTTTTTTTATCTATGGGTAATACTCGTAAAATTTCGACAATGAATGCTTCTTCCGTTTCCCCTTGAGATCTCAATCCTTGAAGATATGAATTCAGTATAAAATCAAGGCCACATGTTTCAAGCAACTCCTTGTTTTTTCGTCTTTGTGTTCTATCGGAACTGTCTTCGTAGGTTTTAGAAGGGCGTCCTCGCTTCCCCGTCGATTTCGAAGGTTCAGATTCACAAGTAGGATCTTCCAGATTTACTGTGAATGTGGCATTCAACCACAGGCTATTCTGATTTAAAAAAAAATCTTTATTTCTGCCAGATTTAGTGTAGCGTTGACGAAAGTTCGTAATAAGATTTTTTTGTACACTCGCGACAATTTTAGCGATATTTGCCTCAGAAAAGTTGATAAAATTATTCCGTATATAACTTGTTAAAGCAACAACATAATTCCCGTCACTTTCAATCAAAACAAGACATAGGTCGCGTCTGGTACATTGGAATTCACTCATTGCGAGAGAGTAGGTGGTTAGATACACTTTTAGTAACGACAATAACGAACGAAAAACAGTATGTAATTATTCAGTATGCAGATGCTCTATTTTATATTAAATAACTGATTTGAAACGTATGCAAAGTATGGGAATAAAAACTATTTATCATTATGTGGTTACTCGGTTTCCTATGTGTTTTATTGATAATTTATTTTGTAGGCGAACTAAAAATGGTGAGAAATACTCGATACATTATCAAAACATAAACCGCAATTAATAATATATCACAAGTGTAACCTATATCAACTAATAAAACAAATAGATTCGCCCACCTATTTTTAAGAAATTATTACTGTTTCATGTTATGATAGATAGCATTATGTTGTGCAATGAAGTTGCAACTTTTTTTTTCTTCCTGTATAAAAATATTATATTTCCTATCAAATAACATCATTTACAGACCTTCGGCAAATTTCGGCAACTGTCAAAACTCTAATTGATAGTTTCAGATACGCAAAAATTATATGTCATGAGATAAATATTTCTAGTAAATATATTTATAAATATATAGCATATTTGTGTATACCAAAAAAAAGTATATATTATAAGCTTTCTGAAATGGTATAATACTTGTATAATTTTCATTGCTAGCTTACTAGAAAATCATCCTGAAAAAAATACAAATTATGATGTTTTCGTGATAATTTTTCAATCATCGTATTTAGATGCTCTTTACTATAAAAAAGTACTAGTTACATACATAATTTATACATAATATAGTAGATCAACTTCTTAGCTATAGTTTGAGGTATAATACAAGTACCTGCGCCGATTTTTACAAAATGTATTTATGGCCAAGCTCTCTTCGGCACCTCCACATAGTGGGGCGGCTCGGATTTGATTCTCAGCCGAGGAATAACGTTTTTTTTCACATTTTATATGCCAGCCTCACTAAGTATTTAAAAATTGAGGCGATGAAAAAACACTTTATAAAGACTTGCATCGTGGTTTTAAAAGCCCACACTGTAATTTTTTTTATATAAATGAACTAGCTTAATAATATGGTAATATTTGAGCTTGCGAACAAACCTGACGATGGAAACTTCCATAATAGGTTGAAGCCTATGCTGTTTTATAGTTAAAGATACGTCATACATGCTTCTAATTTGGCAATACGAAAGTCAGGTAATTGCCCGACTTGCATTCAGTCAGGCACGATCTCTCGCCGCGGCTACACTTCGCTACAACTTGTAAATATTTTACATTCTTCCAGACAAAAAGCCCTATGTGTGTTTTAAGATATTACACAAATTACACGGGAACTATTAGAGACAACAAAAATGTGTCATTTCATTCGTAAGTACAAGTTTAAAGAAATTAATGTCAAAATATTTAGTAATTACTTATTTTGACAGTTGCTGACCACGTATAGATAAACAGCGAGATGTGATCTGCTTTATGCATGAGAGTAAAACAGACTACTTTAGTACGCTCTATTGTACTTTAGTACGCTCTATTGCCAAGGGAAGTTGGGGCGGGGACTACTTTTGCCATTTTAAAATGCGCTATTGTTGGCGTATAATCTGTCTATTTATTATACGTCATTAATTGGAAACGATCGAAAGCACCAGATGTTTACTTTCCCGCGCTGATGTCAAAACTTTGGTCAAGGGACGGCGGCAATTCCGACAGTTGTTATTACCACTGTATAAGGACAACGGCTGAGTCATGTAATACTTAACGTAGTATTCGAGTTTGATGCCTATTTAATGGCACCCAACATTGTATCTTAGTATTTCAACATTGTTCTGAGTTTCTAATAAAGTGCTAATGATATTTTTTTATAGTTAAAAGGGTGGTACGTGTGGATATGGCCCACCTAATGGTAAGCGGTCACCATGACCTATAGACGCTTGCGATACCAAAAATATAATTCACACCCTTGTCTTCCTTGACGCAATTCCTACCCCTTACATCACTGGATCCTTACTCACCGACAGAAACAAAACACCATCAAAAGGTAGTGTTATTTTACTGTAATATTTTCTAAGGTCGAGGTTACTTCAGACTCCAGACGGGCGTTTCGATTAGAGCGTAAAATCCTCTAGCCGAACCTATCCTAATTCTTTCATTTGTTTCACTATCTATTCTAATTTCGTTTACAAAGACACAACATAACAAGACCACAGAACACAGAAAGCGGTTTCTATGTTTTGTGAACAAGACCCAGCCCCTAGCATGACCATTAAATTGCGTAATTTTAACTTTATTGTCCACTAAAATCTGTACAAAAGGCGGACTTAATGCTAAAGCATTCTCTGTCAGTCAACCTTTGGGAAAATTATAGACGCGAAGCTCCTTTTCGTCATTAAGGTCGCGTTGCTTCATCCAAATTAAACCATTCGTCAAAATTTGTCACATCTACTATGTACTTGACATGACATTAACTATTTTCAAAATTAACTATAGATGAAACAACGTGGCCTAAGTGTCGAAAAAAAGCTTTATCACAATCATATCGCGATGCTCATGCCACGGAGACTGCGTAAAGAAAATGATGAAGACCACACTCATAAAGGTCAATCGATTTATAAGTTTGATTTAATTTAACAATAGAAGATAACAATGGAAAAAGACAACACATGACTTTGACAAGTATTCAGTTAAATACTCAAACGACTCTAAGAATAAAGTTTTATGTGACGACGTGTAGAGCGTAATTTTTATATTATTCCGGCGTGTATGGTATAAGTTTTATATTATTCTGACGCAGATTTATGCTTTGCCACCTGCTAAGCCACATGACGTCATGCTCTCTCTTATTCTGTGACGTGATGGTATCGAAAGCGATTTTTACCAAGGAATTATACAGGTAGCTAAATAATATAAACAGGCTTCTATTGACTAATTTCTTTACGGAAACGAAGTCTTCGGTAATATCATACGATTATCATAGTCACTGAACTCGTACAAGTGACACGTATCAATTTTAATTCTAGTACACAAACTTAAACCATTAAATGTGAGACATATGTTCAACGCGAGTTTGAGAATAAATGACATTCAAAATTTGCCTAAACAAGGTTTTTTTTATTTATTTAAATTTTCATAAATATTAAGTACAACACTTATTCCTATTCTGCCAAACTCTAACTTTTCCGTAGTAAGACTGTACACTTTGATAGGTACCTTTAAAAACGCGTTTGATTTATTTATTCATTTGTTAGTTAGAAAAAGGACATTAATTTGAATTTCGTGCTTAAGTTGAGTACAAGGATCTAGCTATACGAACAGGTAACCGCCATCTGGGAAGCCAAATAATTAATGAAGACAAAGTCCTTGTCAGCGAGACGCCCTATTCAAATAGTCACTATATAAAAGCGTTTGCTTGTTAAGTACTATTATTTGAAATCAAATTTTATTTTTTCACTCCCTAACGTTATATTTTAAAGTGTAACTTTTATTACATAGCCACATTTTTTGCGTTCATTTTTAGCATGTAGCGTTACATTATTAATTGTTATAAAAAAATAAGACCTTAACAACAAGCAGCGGTGGTACAGTGGTAGAAAGATCTCCTTTTACGCCGGCGGCCCGGGTTCTTTTCCCAGCCGTGGAAACTTTTTATTAATAATTTTTAATTTTAAAAGTTTCACTTGTATCGGGGTTTTAACAATAAACCGAAGAAAATAACATAGAAAAGTTATTTGATAGAAAAACATTTTGAATGATTTGGTTTTATAGGAACAACTTTTATGAGAAAACATTTAAAAGTGTTTTAAAGTGTAAATATCCAAAGTTTAACTTCGAACTACTCTAAACAGGCTCTCTACTCATTCGAGACGTAGATTAAAAAAAAAGCGCTCCCACAAAAAAGTTGTCCAAGTGCCACCTGTACGATACGCACCAAACATTATAATTATGATGCCTACCCACTTCAATAGATACTTACCTCGGCGAAATATAAAAGTCACGACGCCCGCCCAAAGTACTCCACACGCGTACACTTCCGAAACTTGGTCGGCAGCACTTTAAACCAGGGCCGAGCGGGCCACCATCTGCGCCGGGCTCCCCACAGAGTCACATAAAAACCACACCGGGGGAAAAATTTAAAGACTCATCGATCGGCCGTTGTTCGTAATTAATTTCGGTTGCCTTCGTATTTCGGTCGGGGATTAATAATTTACGCGGCGGCGGGCGGGCGATTGTGAAACGCGTGCTCACCCGGCGACGGTCTGACACGTACTGAGGTGGTGCTGAGTGACTCAAAGTTACGCCGGGCGGTAAGCCACTGCCTGCTATAAGGTACAAGGGACGGCTTCACATCCTATGCAGTAGGTGAACGTTTCAGGAATTTTGTGAAAAACTTGAATTTTCTAGCTGTAGTGGGCACCACTCTAATAGGGGTAATGACGGGGTACAGTAAACGAAATTCTATTTAGTCCGTCAGTTAGATGATCTAAAAATAATGGACACGTATTTTTTCTTTGGGCAATCAACCAAAAAATGACAAAGTTATAGCGCGTCAAAATTTGGGAGAAGGGGCTCGTGACGTCACTTTTGAGTGATTTTTCACTTATAAGTGTACTCAAACGTGACGTCATGCGACTTTTCAAATCAATATATCTCTGCAATGTTTATATTATTTGAAAAAAAGAAAAAATACGTGTCCAATACTTTTTGATAATCTACCTGATAAACGAAGAAAAAAAAATAGTCATCATCCCTATTGCCGCCGAAGGAGGCTGATCAATATAATATTTTTAATTCTTCCACGTATGTAGAAAAATAGAGAAATCCTTGTAAAATTTTCTTTGAATTTATAATCTATCAGCTGAATATAATAAAAGGAGAATGATAATATTCGTTCGGATTCCATTTCTTTGAGATTTGTTTCTCATTGATTTCAAAACACTACCGTTTTTAATCTCAAATATTTCTTTATGTTATCGGCGGTGTTTTAATTATAGTTTAGGTTTTTATCTTAAAGGTTGGCAAACATATGGTCCACCTGATGTTAAGCGAGACGCTTATGATATAAAAGAACTCACGCTTTTGCCTACCCTGACCCAATCCTTTACCCTGCGGAGCCCTGGAACCTTACTTACCAAATGAAACACAACACCACTAAAAGGTAATATGTAAGGTAATATTTATTAACCGACGAAAAAACGGAGGAGGTTCTCAAGTTAACGCAAGTACATATTTATGTATGACCACGCATTACTTTTTACAGTGTAGTCCGATTTTGAATAATTATTTTTTATTGAAAAAGGGTATACACTGAAGTTAGGCTTATATGAATTTGGAAAATAAAATCCCACCCTAAGGGTTGATTACTATTACTCACTGATTGTAATTTTTACATTGTAGTCTGATTTAGATTTTTAATATTGGAAAGCGTATACACGAAAGTCGGTCCCATATAAATTTGAAAAAAATAATGCAACCCTAAGGGTATGGAAACAGGGGATAATTGATTGTTCACTCACTGATTGTAATGTATGACCACATTTTTGATTGTATAATCAAAGGACCACATATAACTTTTTGCAGAGTACTTTGATTTTGATAATCCTTTTTTTTAATGTTATACATCAAAATTGGTCCCATATAAATTTGAAAAAAAAAACTACCTTAAGGGTGGGAAAATAGGGGTGATTGTTCACTCACAGATTTTGATGCCGAGTTGTATAGTACAAAAATTATAACCACAAAAAATTGTAAAATAAAAACTTTATAACAAAAAGATTAAACCACCGTAAAGTAAAAAATAATAAACCTTTTTATCTTTAGTCTAATTAATATTTGCAGTCGTTGCCATGTAGGTGTGATAGATCTGAATTCCCATTTACTACTTAGGTTGGGCTGGTACTGGCACCTACACCAAATATTAATTTGACTAAAGATAAAAAAGGTTTATTATTATTTAATTTCGGCGGTTTCATTTTTTTGTTAAAAATATTTCAAGCCTCTACCTATTGCCGTATTTAATACAGAACACAAAACGGCAAAAAAATCACGTTCGTTGTATGGGAGCCCCCATTAGTTATTTATTTATGCAACAGTTGTATAGTGAGGGGTATTAAAACACGAATATGGGTATATCACACGAGGCGAAGCCGAGTTTCAGAATCTCTATTAAAGATTCGAAAACTGTTAGCTTATTGAAGAGGCTCTAAAGCATGGGTGTAGATTAATATTTTTTATCTAGAGTCATGTCAGAATAAGGTTCTGTCGCCGAAGACGGCTCGTCTCTAGGAGCCGACAGCACAATTTAAAAAAATACAGATATTTAGGAAAAAATTACAGGAAACACTTGAAATTTTGCGGGTTTATGCTACTAGTACCATAGACAATAGTGCAAGTGTATTTAATTACCGGCGCGTTGCATTTTGAAGGCACGTGACAGTTTGCTTTGACATGTCAAAACGAGACACGATTTATAACCACCCCATATCTAAATCCTTTTAAAAATTAACAAATTTAAAGCAAATCTCTGCTCTAAACTGTGAAACATCATATTTAATCTATTTATCAGCGAATAGGGGTGATGACGGGGTACAGTAAACGAAATTTTTTTTAGTCAGTTAGATGATCAAAAACGTATTCTTTGGGCATTCAACCAAAAAATGACAAAGTTATAGCGCGTCAAAGTTTGGGAGTAGGGACTCGTGACGTCACTTTTGAGTGAATTTTCACTAAAAAGTGTACCAAAACGTGACGTCATGCGACTTTTCAAATCAATATATCTCTGCAATGTTTATATTATGTGAAAAAAGAAAAAATACGTGTCCAATACTTTTTGATAGTCTACCTGATAAAGGAAGAAAAAAAAATAGTCATCATCCCTATTATAGGTGAGTGTTATTATTTTATTTCCTTTTTTGTATTTTAACGGTGTAATTTCCTATCATGGCCCATAATATAATTCCGAAACATAGCCCGGGACTTTCTAGGATTATTGAAATATAGTGTTAGTATATTTTTGTATTTGTATGTTTTTTTTTCTTTGTATGTGTATTGTATGTGTGTCTACGCATGTTTCGGAAATTATGTTGGATTGCAATAAATCTTGAATAAGGTACCTATAGTCCAACTTAAAAATAGTGCAAGCGTCTAACTTGTTTCACCTAATTAAGTATATTTTAATTGATCTCAAAGTTAATTTTCAATACTCCTTAGACTGCCCACATATAAATGACTTAAAAAAATTGAAAAAGTACTGAAGAAAGAAATTATTTTTATTATTGATTTGTTAATTTTAAAGTTGATCTCAATGTTAAATTTGATATTATTTAGTAGTTTGTTTTTATTTTAAAGTTGGTTTTAATTTACATAGATTAAAGGTAAGCCCATTTAAATTTTTGGTTGATTTTTTGCCTTTTATGAATAATGTTATAAGAAGGATGTGCTTTTATTTTGATGTTTTATGTTAAAAGTATTTAAGTATTTATAATTCATATATTTTCATTAATATTTTTCGGGTTATATTGAGCGACCAACTTTCCAAGTTAACCCCAATACCAAGTTTCTAAAAAGTGATTAGATTTGTGTCAATATGCCAAAAGCTGTACTACTTTTAAAAATATCTTGTTTTGATTTGAGAACAAATAAAAATATTTTAACTTAATTTTTTTTTCATTACTTTACTTATCTGCAAGATTTTATGAGGTTTTGAAATTAAGTGGGCCGTCATTGGCACCTGTACCTTATTAGATGGTTTAATACACTCGTACTTTATAAACGCACTTACATAACAATAAAACTCATTACAGTACTGCAAGGGGTTTGGTGAAATAACTTTTTAATCATTATAGTACACTTTTATTTTTTAATTTATCACACGATATGAGGCTGAATGTAAAAAAGAGACGAACATATTCAAAATTAATTTCTCGCGCTTCCCATACAATTTTCTGCCGATCGTGTTTTGTTTTCGGGATTTCAGGAATGTTTTTTTTCCTATAAAATCTTGTATGCAACTGTTATAATTAGGTATTATAACACTCGTGCGCGGCCATTCGGAGACGGGTTCCGCCACCACACCCGTCCTCTCGGCACGCACTAGGGGGACGGCGGTCCTCATAGTGCGTGTCGGGTGACGGTGCAGGAGTATTGTCTGGTTTTTAGTGGCCCTGTTCAAGGCGTAGGTAGGGCTCTGTTCACATCAGCGAGCTCCAGGGCTGGCTGAAGAGGACAGGGAGGAGACCCACATACCTTCTTATCGCTCCGCCAGTGGTTGAAGGATGTGTAAGGCATTTTCCAGACAAAAAAAGTATTATAACACTCATGTGATCTATAATCACACACCCACATTCGTATTTTAATACAACAGTTGCATAAAGAGCTTTTATTTCATTCTGTTTTTTTTAAACATTATCTGTGAAAATTTCGTCTATCTATGTAGCTATCATGGTGCATAAGATACGGTCTGCTGACAGACAGAGATGGAGTCTCAGCAATAGAGTTCCATTTTTACGATTAGGATATGGAACCCTAAATCTTATTTTTCGCTTGTTTATATTGATAATCGGATTGGATAAGTACAGCAAAAGAAGGTTTTTTGTTTGAGGAATAAAAAATAAAGCCACGTATGACGTCACAATAGTAGTAAATGGACTTCGAAAAATATTTTTTCTTGTTTCGCAATAGCACAAAGCTGATTAAGTTTGGCCAGCATTTTCACTGTCGTATTTGTATTATTATTAGTGTGTAATGGTTTATTTATTGTAGTTATTAAACCAACTGCTGGTTGTTACTGATGATTTCAATTATATTTATCTCCGAAAATACCGATAAAATCTTTATAAATAGTCTCACACAGACCTTTTTTTTGTTAGAAAGATATACAACTGGAGAGGCAAAGGGAGCTCCCTTTACAGCAATCGTCTGCAGTTGTTCTCACAGAGACCATCCCGAAAGTTTGCTTTCGGATTCGATTAAATAAAGGATATTAAAAATCTTAATTAGTTCAAAAATATCAAAATTTCTTATTAACGGTGTCCTTAAACTGATAAAATGAGTAACTCCTCAATACAAGCAATTTATTTAACTTGCACTGCTGGACTCGTGTATTCATATGTAAGTTGTCTCCTTCAATGAAAATCATATTTTGACCACTTACTGTTATCCGATTTAGTTGATATTTGGCATAAGTAAATACATGTTAGTCTGGTGACAATGCAATAATGTGGTATTATATAGCTGATCTGCCGATGGAGCTGGAAGATGCTTTTATGTTTTTTTTATATTGATGAGTGGAAA